GTCGTACTATATTTGATCGGTCCCTAGTTACCTAAGGGAGTAAGTCTCGGATATCTTAGGTATAGGATTTCCTAGAGAAGGGAATGCTTTAAGAAGATACGATACCTAAAGTCGTATATAGGTACTATAACGCTGTACTAAAACATCCTATACTGAATACCGGTACAATATCTGTCGAGAAGTATCTAGACTCCTCGAACTACTAGGAGAAATAAGATAAGCGAGGGTTTACGAAGGAGATGTTTGCAACTGTAAAGTATCGACAAGTAAGTACTAACTACCGACGACCAGACCTGCCGACTATGCCTGCCGACTATACCTGCCGACTATATCTGCCGACTACGTCTAAGTGACTATACTAAAACTTTATCTCTAGACTATAAGCAATCCGCGATAGACAAGGGACCTAGGCTATATACCGGACGATTTCCCGCGCTTATCCTTCGAGATAATTATCGATAATAGTCTACTATTCCAGTTCTTTGAACGACCGTTAGTAAAACAGACTTATATAGCCCTACTCCCGGGATAGGTCGAGACAATTTAGTTCAAATCTACCTCGATATACCGTAGGATACTCGGTACTAAGGTTTAAGAGTCTGCTAAATCCCTTAAGACCTGTCTTACTAGTAGATTTAAGATAGCTATCGCGTATAATAGCTAGTAATCCAGAGGTATAAAAACCTTATTCCTTACTATCCGGGTCTACTAGATTAACGACTACTAGGTCTAGTACGAAGGGATACTTAGCTTTCTATATATTACTAGCCGTTATACTAGTAATTACCTTACAGAGATACTATTCGAAATCTTATAAGAGTTCGAGATTAAGTGCCGATTAACTGCAATTACGTACGACAATACCTCGAACAATAAGACCCTATATAATACGATATAAGACTACTTGCTTTACTCTTCCTACTTCCTTCTAATATTCTATAGTATTTTAGCGATTAATACTTATTAAGAGAGGTACGGTATAACGGCTAGGAGGCTAGTAACGAGCTTAGAGGAAGGTACGGAGAGCAGTCCCGACTCGGAGATAGGAGAGGATAAGGAGGAGGCAATCGCGGAGTATAATTAAGCTAGCCGTCCCGAGCGATTTCCCTACTTTGTATATACTACCTAGCTTCCCTTAAAGGCCTTTTTCGACCGCCTAGGGCTCTGTCCGACTAACGACCTTTCCGAATACTAGGATTACGAGAAAGATCGGCAGATATTATAGAGAAGGAGAAAACAGAGTAAGCAGATTAGCCGCCCTTAAGCTAATAGTATACCTTACCTCCTTCTAAAGGTAAGATTAGTCTCTACGGCCTATCGCCTATTAACCTTCCTATTTTCAAAGTGTAGTCGGCTCTCGTAGTCGGTAATTATAGTCGGCACTCGAGATTCCCTTCGCTAATTTCGATCCCTAGATCCGGAAACTTTGCGTCTTTATTAACTCGAGCTCTTAAAGGTTCGAGCAGTTTATCGACCTATAGAGAGAGATACTTTAAAAGAAGGAGCTATTTGTAAAGTACCGTCGGTAGAATAGCGTTTAAGATCGGATCCTAAGGGTCGTTCAAGACATAAAGATAAGGTAGTCCTTAATAACATTAATGCTCGATCGCTTTAGCAGACTGCAAAGAGTTATCGAATCTTATATCGATCGACTCGACCTAAGTAAAGATATAGGTATCGATTCCGAAGAGTAGCAAAGGGTTAAGTACCTTATCGACCTTATAAAACTATTCGTAGCGGCGATAGTAACGATCGGAATAACGAAAGGTCCGACTATCTACCTTGTCCTTATATACTATAACTAGCTTTTCGATATTCTAGAGGAGGCGATAAAGCGACTCAAGAATAAGAGGATACCTTAGAAGAAGGATATATATTAGGTATACGAGGCTACTTAGGCTAAGCTTAAGAAATATTATCGAGATACCTAGGATCGATTTAGCGATTACTACAGCATTAGTATCCTCCTTACCCCCTACCTTAAGCGGAAGTTCTAGGTACGCGATAACTTCGGGGATAAAAGCTACTACGAGTATTACGAGGGTAAGCTAAGAACAGAGTAGGAGAAGAGCTATCGTCTATTATCGAGCACTTCTACCTACGAGTTACGTAGTAGAAGTAGTCGGTATAAGGGCTAGATCGACTTTACTCTTAGTAGGAGTACAGAGTCTTCTTAAACTCAACGACGTAGCACTCGTAAGGGTAACGAGCTTACCGACTATCTAGACGCTAATATAGATAAAGGGGATCTATTCGAGGTACTAAAGATATAGTCTTCGCTTAAGCCTAAGTACCCTACTCTCGTACTAATAGTGCGGGATATTCTCTATATTCCTACGGCCGGAGTTAGGTATAAGCGCGATTTTAGTATCGCTCGATACTAAAGTCGTTTCAATCGCTAATACTCTGTATTAACATTCTCTAAACTAATAGTATCCCGTTTCCGCTACCGCGACGATAAGTACGATACTAGAGTTCTTATCGCCTATAAGGCTATAGAGGCTGCTTAAGCGCTTCTTAGTACTCTAACTTTATAGGAGATCCTAAGTAAAGACCGAGAGTAGATAAAAGATCTTATAGAACGGATTAGTAACTTAGATACAATTAGCGATAATAAGGGAGATAGGGTAGAGGAGCTAAGGCGATCGGTACGCCTAAGCTTCAAGCTTACGTAAGAGTGCCTCCGGGATGCTACGAGACGATTATAGCGAGCTTAGTTTAAGCTTGTATAAAGTTTACCTACCGACTATATTTGCCGACTATAGTACTTAAGTTTCAAAATATTATAAGCTATAATCTAGCGTATATATTCTTCTATATTTATTCATTCGATCTAACTACTCTCTTTCTCCTCTTATTTATATCGGGCTTATATACAGTTTCTTTTCTAATACCTAGTTCAAATAACTTGCTCTTAGGGCACTCGGTTTCTAGGCTTTTTCTTTCTGTTTACGAAAAATTAATACCCAATAGGTACGCAATACCTACTAGGTATCGTAATACCTACTAGGTTTGTACCCAACCCGATAGGTTGGGTTTACCTAGCTAAATACCTATACCTATTAGGTATTGCCAATACCTAACCTACCCTACATACCTACTAGGGTAGGTTGTACCTATAATAAGGCCTACTTATTAGCGAAGACAAGCACCGGGCATTCAAGAAGTAGATCTATACTACTAACTATCGGCACCTAGAGAAGGATCTGTTAATAAAGGAGAACCTACGTATAACGCTCCGGTTTGTACTAGCTAATAGCTTTAAAGAAGAGGAGAATAAGGTAGTAACGCGCTTGGTAAAGGATATATATACTAGTTGTCCTACCCTGTTTGCGATATTATTACTACGATCGGAGCAGGCAGGCCTTAAACTAGACGACGATAACGACGAGCTCGAGGGTATTACTAGCGATATACGCTATATTAATCCTACCGCCGTTAGTTGTATCTAGGCTAAGTATAATACCCTCTATCTCCTATACAATAGTATATACTAACAGACGAAACTACTTAGGTTTATCCGGTCCCTTAGACTACCGACACGCGCGTCTTAGATAACTCTAGAATTTGCTATAGTACTCTCTATAGCCTATAGTCGCGAGTACAATATACCGAGTATTATCGTGTTTACTAGTTTATTTGTCTAGAGTAAGAAGGTTACCTTCTACGACCTAGCAAGCTAGCGACGATATATATATAAGATTAGCAACTTTGTCCGTCTACGTACTAGCGGTAGTATCCTATAGATTAACCAGATTACCGTCTATACCTTCGAAGGCCGATAGCGACTGTTCGTAATAGGTATACTGCTCCCTCCGGTAGCCGGTATAGAGGATCTAATACTCGGACGAGGATACCGCCGTATTGTACTTACTATAATACTAAAACCTACGCTCTTCGGATTGCCCTCGATTAGTACGGAGTATATATACGTTATACCTGTTCGCGGCAATAGTAACGCTGTCTCTTTAGCGACCGGCGATAAAGTGTTAACTTCTACGGACTTTATCTAGTTATAGTATACCTTATAGTAGCTATAGCGGACTAGTCGATATATCGCTGCTTAATAGACAGACGGACTCGATAGACGGACGGACTCGATAGACGGACTCGATAGACGGACTCGATAGATAGACGGACTCGATAGATAGACGGACTCGATAGATAACAGATAAGAGACGACGGACGGGAAGACGAGGCTACTAATATAGGATTATATAACGGACGTGTTGCAAGCATAACGGTTAGATATAGATAACATTAGGATAGGAGTTCTAGACGAACAATACCTTTACTAAAAGGCGCGTAATGTAGGTATCGTAACGGACATATAGTAGACAGTATATAGGCGACAGACTAAGGTAGTATAGGATAGGCTAGCGGAGGGGGCTAGAGGCAAGCAAAGTACGTAATACGTAATTTCAATATACTATATATAAAGTACAAGCTCGTATGTTAATATAGTATAAAGTGATAACACGTCGTAGGTAAGGATATATATAGAGAGGGTAATACGTTCTGTTTACTAACACGTCGTACCTGCTAATACGTATAGTAAGGCTAATACGTTTGAGAATTCTGATATAGAATTCAATTTTGATATAGAACTTTAGTCTAACACGGATTATAAAGCGATATATAGCAACACTACGACACCTATATACAACAACACGGTACCTTCGCTAACACCAACCTAATACGCTCTAGAACTTTATACGTATTATTTCACACTATGATACTAACACTACGTTGACACGCTAACAGCCTCCCCCCAGATCGCGGTTAGGTAGTATACCACTTTTTATCTTGCAGGTGTTCACAGCCAAGTCCGTGCATTGTTGATGTGCCAAGACCAACGACTATCGTTCTAATCCCATCTCAAACCCGAACAATGACATGACCACATGACCGGTGATATCACAACAAACTATCACCAGTCGCTGCTTGGGTGGGGATCGAAGCGACTTCGTTCGCGGTAGAGTATCGCGATGGCGGTGCTTCATCCATGAGGTACTCATCTTTAGCCTCCAGACCATCTACGCAGTACCATGTCCATCCTCAGATCCATCGGGCTGTGTTGCCTGCTATTGTCACTCGGCCCTCACGTGCAAGCGCAGCAGCAACAGCAGCAAGTGCTTTTGCCTCCACATATGCCCGTTGTAGCTGATTCGAACAAACTCGTAGGAGAGAAAGAATTTGTATGCGATAGGAGCTGTAGGTGAGGTACGTTGACAACATGCAGCTGGCTGACTTCCGCAGACTCTACGACATGTATATCATCATGGCACCTTCGACCATCCCCGACTACACCGATATATCGATATCCCGCAGGACCAAACTCTCTATGTCAAGGATCAGTTGGGCTGTAGGGCCAAAGCTCCAGCGAGATTGCCTGCCCGCGTGGCTCCGATGAGGATACAGCGCATGGTAGAGCGCAGTCCAGCTGCGACGGAGAGCTTGTTCAGCTATGCGCGGAGCCATGGTGGACCGAAGACGCTCATGGCGGACGAGTGGACGGTAGATGAGATCGCTGCTCCCAACACGACAGACAAGAGCACAGTCATCACATTCGCCACGATCGCTGCGAATGCCTATGTCACAGAACCGTGGGGCGATGGCTGGAAAGATGTCAAAGGTGGATTCAACTACACAGACGATTTTGGGTGGCAATTGGATGGTCTCCGGGGACACATTTTCGCGGACCAGACCAATTCGACCGTCGTGATCGGGCTCAAGGGCACTTCCATGGCGATATTCGATGGGAAAGAAACGACGGGGCACGACAAGTTGAATGACAATCTCTTTGGCTCGTGTTGTTGCGCACAAGGCATTCATTACGCATGGAAGCCAGCGTGTGATTGTATGACCTCCCAATACACCTGCAACAATACATGTCTCGTGCGCTCGCTGCAGGACAAAGCTCATTACTACTGGGCTGCACGCGATCTGTATCACAACGTCACGGAGAGGTATCCCCACGCGGACATTTGGCTTGCCGGTCACAGTCTCGGAGGTGTTGTTTCTGCGTTACTGGGCCTCACATATGGACTGCCGACCATGACCTTCGAGACATATCCTGACGCATTGGCCGCATCACGACTGGGACTGCCGACTCCACCCCAGTATCACATCGGCTCGGGTTCCCAGCTGGATATTGGTGTACATCACTACGGTCACACCGCAGATCCGATCTTTGCCGGTACTTGCAATGCGTGGAACTCGGGCTGCACAATCGCCGGATATGCATTCGAAGGCCAGTGTCATACTGGAACCAAGCACGTGTACAACACCGTCACCGAACTCGGGTGGCATGTCTCTGTTGCGAACCATCGCATGAACGTCGTAATTCCCGACGTTCTCGAGAAATATGATGAAGTCCCTTCTGCAGAAGAAGACGCGGATTGTCAAGATTGCTACTTATGGAAGTTCTTCCAGAGCAACGGGACAGAGACCACCACCACGACTACATTGACGAGTATGTCCAGTAGTAGTACAACGGCTACTTGCAAGACACCTGGCTGGTGGGGTTGCAAAGACACCACCACAACAACAACCAGCAGTCCATCCTTAACAAAACCCACCACAACCATGTCCCCAACCCCAACCACAACCACAACAACAACATCCCCTCCAACTCCAACAACAACCTGTCACACCCCCGGCTGGTTCGGCTGTAAAGATGTCCTCCCATCAAAAACAAAAATTCCTTCTTCTTCTTCTTCTATCAGCACATCGTCCCTGCTGCTTCCCACAGCTACAACAACCACCACGACGAAGCCAGTTTCTACGCCATCCACTACGACTACAATAACCTGCCACACACCTGGCTGGTGGGGTTGTAGAGATTCTACTTCTACTACTAAAAGTACTACGTCGACGACGTCGACAACGAGTACAGTATGATCGTCGATATTATGAAGAGCACGTCTTACATCATAGGTAGCATTCTTATTCGTATACAGCTACTACAGCTACTAGTATAGCTACAGCCACAGCGACGAGATGAAGTAACTATCGAGCTGAATGCATACATGAGCTTCTGACGGAGGTAGAGCAAGGTAGAATAAGTAGGTAGGTTGGGCTTAAGGGGGGGAGATACCCTTATGCAATAACCAGTTAGCAGTAGTAGTAGAAGCCAACACATCAGTCATGTTAGCAAAATAACTCTTTGAATTTCCCTCACATTACAAAAGAGAAGAAGATCTCGTGAGAGAATTGATCAACTGCGTTCATTCGGTTTTTCCATTTCTGCGGTGTCTTTTCTAGAACAGCATTACAAGTCTCTAGGACTTCAGGCAGACAGCCATGTGTCGACATCACTCATACTGTCTGCGTGCACCTGTTACGCCTTCAACGCCCAACAACACATTCGTTGCCAGCAATCCACGTTTTACACAAACAGGGTGTCGGACTGGATGTTGTACTGCTTGATGATGTCTGCCAACCTCTTTGCTTCTTGCACATAGTCGATTGTTCGGGCATATTGCACTTGGTAACGTACTCTGGACGCCACGTTAGCACGTTCTCATACTCCTCAGTCATCTCCCAGTGCGACATACCTCTGCTGATCTTGGAACGTGTCCATTTTCGCTTTGCATCGAAAGATGTACGACTTGCAATTCGCGTCCGAAAACGCCTCGCTGACACGCTTGTCATCACCCTCCTCCTTCATGGCCATGAGGTCGTTGGCTGGCATGCCGAGGATTTGCTGCCCGACTTCGTCAAAACAACTGAGCCAGATCTGGCCAGTGTGATCGCTGACATTGACTGAAATGATGTATCTGTACTTGGGCGAAGGCCAGCTCTTGTCGCACTTCTCGCAGCGCCAATTGCCTTCCTCGACCTCCAGGACCTTCTTGTTGCAAGGCTGGGGATCGGTGGTCTGGCAAGCGGGATATGCAAAGTTGTCTTGTTTGATGTAAATGATGGTGGCCTTGGTGCTGAACCAGTCCGTATCGTCGGTCATGCCGAGGTTCTCGTCTCGCACTTGCGAGATGGTCTTGGTATCATTTCGGCCAGCACCGCCCGTTGCGCCAGCAGTCGACATGGTGTTGGCATGAGAGGCGAAGGTCTCGTTGTGGCCACTGGCGCTGTACCAGCCCTTGAGCTTGAACGCCTCGTCGATCTCTGGGTTCACGTTCATGCTGCCACTGGAGAGCAGCGAAAGCGATCGACCCCCAAAGTCGCCCACTTTGACACCCTTGAAGGCGATCACTGATTCTGGCTGTGCATCGAAGGATTCTGCAGTCTTGCCCCAAATCGTAAGGCGAACATTGTAGCCTGTATCGTCGACTAAGGTGAGATCACGCTTGCTGTAGGGCTTGGATGTAGTCTTCGATACTATCTCGTTGACCTCACCAACTTCGGACACGACACCAATCACGTCAATAGTCGAGTCCTTCTCCACCGTCTGCAGTGCCTCGATAGTGATGAAGTTATAACGCACTTGTGGCACTCCATCGTTGTCCTCGGCCTTCTCCACCAAAGTCTGATTCTCGAACGTCAGCTCGTAGTCATTGGGCAGATTGGAAAACTGCTTCTTGGCGAGCTGAACTCTGCAGGGGCTCGATATGTAGTAGACGCTACCCTCCTGCAGCACCTCATGCCACTGATCGACCTGATCGTTGAACATGGTGGCGCGGATTTCGCCCGACTCGTCCAGAAAGTTCGCGCTGAAGAGCTTTCCCTCGCCGTTCTTGTTGTGCCATGTCTTGATGTCGCCTTTGTGAGTGCATCGCGCCTTGATCGTCCATTTGTGGGTGTAGGGAGAGATGGCTTCGATGGGTGTGATGTTGCCGTGAGGGCCGTTGTGAGAAGCGCCATTCGTGCGCGATGGGAGCGAGCGCTGCGGTTCCTGCTTTACCGGCGCCTGAGGCTTCTGCTGCGGCTGCCCGTAGAAGTTGTTTCCTGTTATGTTGCCGGGCTGAGGCTTAACCTCCGCTTGTGCCTCCGGTTTTTGGCCGCCCTCAATTGCCACCGGCGTCCCTAGCTTCTCCTGCTCGCCGTACTCCTGCAGTACATCCAGGTCGATGATGATGAGGATGTGTTTGTCTTTGACAAAGTTGGCCTGGAATGACTTGAGGCGACAGACCATGCCCTTCTTGAGTGTGCCCTCCGTGATGAGGTGGTTAGACTCTGGGCTGACAGTCAGCTTCATAATCTTGTGCCTCCTCTTCGCAACGCCCATCACTCACGCATGGAAATCATGCCCTGGATGAAGTTGACGGTATCGCTAAACACGACACGCCATCGCTCCTGGCCACCTGCGCCTTGTGCCATGGGCTTGATCTGTACGCACTGCAGCACGGGATCCATGACCTCCTCGCCGGCGGTGATGCGGCGGAGCACGCCATGTGTGACGGCGTTGAATGCGTTCTCCATCTCGTCGTCAGTGCCGCGGTGTCGGTGGTGAGGGAGGGAGTTGAGGCGGGAAAGGCGGCGGAAGAGAAGAAACGAAAAGATGTTGATGGGCGTGGACGTGAGTGGGGCAAGAGGCTGAAGTGTTTGAGCGCGTCTTTCTAGAAGCACGCGCCTGCCACGCGTTGAAGTGACTCCCTCCCTAGCTCCAGGGCTTGGCACAGGCTTGGCACAGGCAGCCATCCCATCTGCCACACTCCACACTCTACATGATTACCTTATACAGATGGACAGACATGAGAACAACATAGATGGAAGATGGTATTCAGTACCTCCTATCATTGTCGAGAAACCGGAGCTTCAATTTCCCGTGGACCGCGCCCCTTTCCATCCGATCTCTCGTCCCTGACCCTCCCCATCCGGACGCCAAACTCCTTAATTACGAGCCAGGCGGGCACAATAGAGACCGCCCACAGCGCGAAGTTCACATACACCGCGCCGAACTGGCCCATCGTCGTCAGAGAGACTAGTCCATACGAGACCGCCTGCGCTGCGCTCTCCGTTCCTCGCAATATTCCTGCGTAGCGTATCACTTCCGCATCGTTCTTTGCCAGTTGGCCTATAGCACAGTCAGCAGAGCGCACCGCTTGCTATGCGAAACGACTTACCAATGACAAAATAAAGGTACAGGTAGTTGATTTGAAAGCTCCCTACCATGAATAGGAACCAGAAGAAACCTCTGCTGAAGCCCGAGTCCACCCAGTCCAATGTGGGCTGAGACTTGTGGTATTCAGTCACGAGAATTGTGCCCCAAACCCACCACGCGCCTTGAAGCGCAATGATGACAATGAAAGAGCCACGAGCTCGCATCCGAAGCTGCCACTTGGTATGATCCAAGAAGAGGCCCAGAACATTGCCTGCTGCAATCGCCACGATACCGCTCAGGAAAGAGCCCAAGGCGCGAGCACGTACCGAAAACCACAGGCCCTGGTAGGTGAAAAATACGGCCTCAGCAAAGACAGATTGTGAGATCAGTGGTATGATCAGTAAAAATTTCTTGCCTGCGAACAGCTTCGCTGTGCTGACGAATTCCTTCCACGAGCTCTCTTCCTTGCCGATCGAGCAAGACACTATCTCGCCATCCGTGCGCTCAACCTTTCCTGGAGCTGTCAGAAGCAGACCTGCAAACGGAGCAACAGCTTGCAGGGCGATAAAGACTTGAAAGACGGAGTAGGACACCGATCCAGCTTCGTTGCGGTCAGCATTCAGACCTAGATTCACAGCGCCGCCCAGTATTTGCCCTCCCACTCGGAAGCTCAACCAGATTCCGAGCAGCTTGCCTTGGTTGTATGGCTCGGGATACGATAGCGCAATGGCAGCCTCTGCCATCCAGAATAGTCCAGCACCCAGACCGCAGGTAGCTGCGCCGAAGAGAACGAACCATGAGCTGCCGTATCGATTATTGCAGTATAGCCCTGCCGCGTATGGACAGTAACCCGCAGCCCCCAAGATCAGTGTCCAGCGTATTCCCAGATGCTTGACGAATACGCCGCTCAGAGCGCAAGTTACAACCATGAGGCAGAATGTGAGGGCATTAGCGGCGTTGACGAGCCCTGATACCAGCGTAGCTGTTAGTGAAGTACGCGGATACACACATGGCCGTGCTTCTGCAGTATCAACTCACAGGGATCCTGCTGGCCTCCTCCTCCTAGCGAATTCATCGCGCCCCAAATTCCTGGCGCGCAGAAGTTACAGATACCGAGGATGATGGCATTGTAGAGTGTTGAACGATACCACTTCACCTTCCGCTTCGTGACAGGTTGGCTCTGTTCTGATGGTACCTCGCTGACGAAGTGCGAATAGTCCCCTGTCTTCTCTTCTGCCATAATGTGCTACGGCTGGTACAAAATCGAGGGAAAGGGTAGGCTGGATACAGGAGGGATCAGGACGAGAAGATCGCACGACCACGAGCAATAAACTTGTGTTCAAGACAACAACAGTGCGTCTGGACTAGCGAGGTCATTCTCGGGGTACTCCATACCCGATTATATTGGACCGCAATTCCTACTGCTGTGTCTTGGGCACGGGTCCTCAAACCCATAGAGTTGTCTCGCACGCCATTTGTCGGGGTGATGCCATCAGATCTTCCAGCCTGATCAATCATAGGCTATCGCTCCCTATGTGACATGGCGGCATACAGGAGTTCATATGATGGTGCAAGCCACATTTCGTTTACGCATCTGCCATGTTGACGCCACGAGCATACCATAGGCTGTGCTCAAACCTTGACGCTATTTCCGGCTTTGCGGTCTCCTGCTGATAATTCCGTCAATATGGCACATCCCCAGGGTACGAAGACGTGCTTGACTAACCCCACACTGTTGCGGCTCACCAACATCACATTGGCATGTGCACTGACACCATTTCCAGCAACGGGCGACGAGTCGACGATACGAAGCCAGTGCGAGAGCGACGAGCCGAAGCATGAGTCGTTCACGTGTTCTGCCGACATGGCAATCCGAGATAGGCAGCCCACCACCATGGATTGGTACATTTGATCGACACGGGAAAGGTCTTTGTGTTGAACAACATCGCTATACCATAGACAAAGGGCAACATGGACGAGCTATTGACAGAGGGCCAGCTCCGCAAGTACTGGCAGCGGCAAGCGTCTCTGTCCACCTGGACCGACTCTGGCTACAACTCGAGCGATGCTACTACCGATGATGCAGCGGACATCACTGTTGCAACCAAGTTGTCCGCTGGGACGTCGAGCAACGGAGTTACTGAGCACAAGCAACGGAAAAAATGGGTAATGAATGCATTTGCGATGACCGCGCCAGGACATTTGGCTCCTGGTGAGTACCACTCTTCACTATCACTCAAACAAATCCATCATCACTTACATGATCTCAGGTTTGTGGAGACATCCCAATCAAGAACCTCAAACACTCGACCACTGGGTACGACTTGCGAAGATGTTAGACGAAGCCGGGTTCCACGGCATCTTCTTTGCCGATGTGCTCGGTATTTACGATGTCTATCAAAGCAGCAATGGACCCGCCTTGAAGGCTGCTGCACAGGTTCCGGAGCTTGATGTATCTTTACTAGTCTCGGCAATGGCATATGCGACCAAGAACATCTCGTTCGGAATCACTGCGTCCACGAGCTATGAGCATCCATACCAGCTTGCAAGACGATACGCTACGCTCGATCATGTTACGCAAGGCCGTGTAGGCTGGAATATCGTCACGAGCTACCTGGAAAGTGCTGCGAAATCTTATGGTCTGGACCAACTGACACAGCACGATGATCGATACGAAGTTGCTGATGAGTTCCTCGAAGTGGTATACAAGCTTCTCGAGGGCAGCTGGGAAGACGACGCAGTCGAAGCGAACAAAACAACCGGAATCTACACCAACCCCGATCGTGTCCACCCCATCCACCACGCAGGCAAGCACTTCCGCTGCAGAGGACCCAGCATCGTCCATCCCTCTCCCCAACGCACCCCCTTTCTCCTCCAAGCCGGCGCGAGCAAAGCCGGCAAAAACTTCGCAGCCCAACACGCCGAAGCCATGTTTCTCCCCGGCATGCTTCCCGAAAAAACCCGCCAAATCGTCGATTCCACTAAAGCGCTTCTGATTGAAAAAGGCCGACAACCCTCCAGCATCAAATTCATCGCAGGAATCTTCATCGTCGTCGACTCCACCGACGAAAAAGCCCAAACCAAATTCCACAAACTTCTCCAATACGCCGATTTAGAAGGCACCGCGGCCCTCTTTGGAGGTTGGACAGGGACCGATCTTTCCCAATTTTCCGATCACGACGAAAATTTCTCTTTCAAAAATGGTCCTCCAGCAATTCAATCCCTCATCGACTCGTGGACAAAAACTGTTCCGGGCCTCGAAAATGTGAAATGGACGAAACAACACGTGTTGCAACAATTGGCAATTTCGGGCGCTCATCCTCGCGCTGTGGGGAGTCCACAGACTGTTGCGGATATTATGGAGGAGTGGATTGAAAAAGCGGATGTGGATGGGTTTAATATTAGTTATGCGGTCACGCCGGATACGTTTGAGGATATTATTCGATATTTGTGGCCTGAGTTGAGGAAGAGGGGCGTCTTGCAGGAAGGGTATGTGGGAGAGACGATGCGAGAGAATTATTTGGGCGATGGATTGGGGCCGAGGGTGAGAGAGGGGCATCCTGCGAGGAAGTATTGGGGGGCTTTTGTAGGGGGGAAGTGATTGATTATGATTAATGTAAGCAAGAAAGAAAAGATAAATGGATGGATGGATTGTGGTAATTCGCAATCTTCTTCTTTCGGTGCAACGAATGATATAACTATATCTTTCATAGAAAAGAAAAATTTGAATCCAAAAAAGAATAAATCCAAAAAAAAAATCTCTTGCGAAAAAGAGAATAGAAAAATCACGAAATCATGGCCCAAGGCCTCTCCTCCGCACACCTCCTCGCCACAGCCGCATTAATCGCCCGATCAATCCTCAACTGCTCCGTTGTACCCTCACCACCACCACCACTATCACCACCGACGCCCAAAGGCGTCACAGGCGGCGTGAGCAACTCCTCCGATCCAGCAGTAGTGATAGTAGGAGGAAGAAGCATCGGAGCAGCCGAATGATGATAATAACACGACCACATCGGTTCCAAGGACTTTTTCTTCTTGTCGAAATATCCTCCTGCCCCCTCTTCTGCTTCTCCGCCAAGAAGAAGCGGACCCGAGATTTCGGGAGGAGGGGATTGAATACCTTGAATTGCAACTCCAGCAGCAACAGCAGCAGCAGCTTTCCGCTGAAGAAGAGCGACTTTTTCTCTTTCTTTTTCTTTTTCCCTTTCTTTCTCTTGATTTTTCTTTTTCTCTTCTTCTTCCTCTTCAATTTCACGCACCAATCTCCCACGAAATTTCACAAAAAGTCTCTCTTCTGCCATTCGACGATGATAGTCCAAATTCTCAAATTCTTCCAATTCTTCTTCGTCTAGACAAGAAGAAGAAGAAGTATCCTCGGGTCCGCGTCGATGGATTGCAAAGCGAAGAGGAGTATGTGAAGGCTTGAGTTTGCGGACAAAAGCGAAGCGACGCGTGTGATAGCGAGGGGAGCGCTCGGACCAGAAGTCGAGGCTCATTTCACCTGTGAGGAGGAGGAGGAGGAGGTTAGCTAGGATCGACGACAATGGGTTTTTTGAGATGGAGATTTTTTTTCCGTCTCAATTTCTTTTTTGTGAGGTATGAGTATGCTTGTTCACTTACCGAGTTCGTGAGCGCGAGCGCGAGCCAGAGTCGCAGACGAGAGGTTGATGTTTCTTTTCCAGACTCCTTGCGTGATGATACCGGGCTTGAGAAGAAAGGCAATGTGTGTCCGGATGTAGTCGTCGAGAGCGGCACCCGTGCCGGGGAAGACATAATCTACCAGTCCGATCTGCTGGGCCTGTAGAGGACTGATTGGCGTCATGGACCGAAGGATCTTGTTGGCATTAGTCTGCCCGCAGCGTCCACGATAGGAGATGGTGTGATATTCACTCCCGTAGAGTCCAAGTGCGCGGTAGGCTGGGTTCAAAACGACCTTGTGACCGGCGATGACAATGTCGCAAGCGGCAGCGAGGGCGACTCCTCCTGCTGCGGCATTGCCGCGAATCGCGGCAATGGTGAGAATGTTTCGCGAAGGGAAGTCTTGGAGCAGATATTGGACCACATCGTCGATGCGGTTGATGTTGAGCCAAGACTCCATGGCTGGGTCCACGGCGGCCTCGATGACATTGAGAGCAATACCATTGCTGAAGTATGCTCCTCCCATCAAGACGACTGCTTGCACAGGGCTGGAGCTGGTGGACTGCGACAAGACGTGATCAAAGGCTTCAATCAGGTGTGAGCATTGGTCGGTGGCCATGGCTCCATTGTAGAAGTCGAAATAGACATAGGCGGTACGACGCATCGCATCGTCCACATCGTAGTCGACCCAGCTAAGAGGAGAGACAGGGTCAGGGGGACCATACTGGGTACACTTGTGTGTACGTACATGAGAGGTCGAAGGACTTACACTTCTTGGAACGTCTTGAACGACGACAACTTCCAATCATCGGGCGGGCACCAGTCAAAGGTTCGGACATCTTCGGGCGTGATGATTCCCAGCTGCAGGAGACCAAATGTAGCGGGTACTTTTGGCCACAAGGCCTTGTCGACCTTTGTTCTCATGCGTCGGACATGTGTAATCCAGACGCCTTTGCCATCGCACGTGGCAATACACACGGCCTTGTTGCGGAAGCCGAGGATCCGAGGGGAGAGACCAGACAGCTGAATGGGCCATCGTTCTTCTTCGTTGTCGTCCACAACACCCCCGTACACGTACAGGCTGCTCCCAAACACCTTGCTGAGCGCGCCAGGCTGCGAGTCTCCGCATCGGATACGTCGAGAGACTTGTTGGGAGCTGTGTCGTGAGACATCAAAGTCTCGTTGTGCAGCTTTGAGGAGAGGTCGATGATGCAGCCGACCCCCTTGAAAAGGCTTGGAATCGCTGACAGCAAGCGCTCGGAAGTTGGCTTTTGTCTTGAGGGTGGTGGTGATTCGTCCCGACGGAGACGCGGCTTGGACACGGCTGATGGCTGCCAGCGTAGCATTGATGGCACTCTGCGTGACGGGGCCACGATAGAGCTCAGACTTGGTCAAGCCTGGTTGATCAATGTCGATGCTGAATTGGTCAAAGGCCCAGACGGGACCAGCGTCGAATTCCTCGATGGCTTGCAGAATGGTGATGCCCCAGTGCGTACGGCCAGGGGAGACTTCATCTTCGTCGAGCGCCCGGAGCACTTCGTTGGAGGCATCGATGGAGCCGTCATCGCCCATTAGTACCCAGTCGAGAGCGGATGGCCCAGCGTCCCCCGGTGGCCCAGGGTGTATTATCAGCGTCAGGTAGTTCTCATAGATGCACTGTAGCACATGTTAGCGTTCGCTTCAGTTCGTGATTCTGGTCGACGCACCTTTGGCACAAGGGTGGTCAAGAATGGGCAGATGATGATGTCGGGCTGGCTGAGTGCCACAGCAGAGATCATCGTTTCCTCGGACAGAGCGAGCTCGATGGTAACATGATGCGAAAGCGAGAGGGCCAAGTACAGCCGCTGCGACAAGCTGTTGTGTGCCGTGCACAGGAATAGCACCCGCATGATAGCGAACTTTGTTGTTAAAGGATTGAAGTGTTCGCGGGGTTGGATGAGATATGCTAAGTATTGTCGTAGGCGGAGGAGTTCTACAAGGAGTAGTGAGCGTGGGATACGGTTGAGACTTTATGGTCTTGTCTTAGTTCCGGGTCCTGGTGTCTAAAGGTATGCTGTGACATGCTCGGCGAAACATGGGAGGCCAGCTGATACATATAAGCCATGTAGTTCGCAGAGAAACGTGGGTAACTTCGTCGGGTAATACTCCATCACCCTCAATCCATTCGAGGGGCACCCGTGCTCGTGGCCGCCATCCTATCCATAAACGATTTTTTTAGGCGAGCTGCTGCTACCTATCAACAGCGACGTCCTTTTACAAGCCTCAACATGACTGGGTGCGCTGGCTGAGGGAATTTCGACCGGCGAGCCTGGGAGAGGATGGTGTGATGGCGGGCTCTAGGATCTCGATGATGGCGATCTGCGAAACCCGGACCACTCTGAGTGAGAAGTCGCATCTCCTGGGCATTATCGACTATGCTTTTGCGCAGCCTAGATGCATGAGATGTTTCGGACGCCCAACTGCGACCTGGTCTGGCTCTCTAGTTCTTGCCGGTCGTGAAGGGGGCGTATGAGTGATACGATCTCGCAATCGTCGTCTGGCGCCTCGACTCCACGATGTTGGGCAAAGTTGGCGTTGATAGGCGTGCAGTCGAATCATGGTTGGGCTCTGTCCGTCCAGGACACTCTCGTGGCTCAAATTTAGAGTGTCACTTGACGTGAAGGCTATCGAACTTGGTAGGGACTCATTGGCGACCAGAGAGCCACAAGGTTGCTGCAACGGCATGGCCGACGATTCTGGAGCTGCTAATGGCAAAGTGAATGAGCATTTGAGCGTCCAGAGGTGGCCCGTCAATTCTAGTGCAGATCGCTGCAGTTCCGCAATCGTATATAGCTATCAATCGGCGGACTTCACACGTGGTGAGCACGGTGGTGGCGTCTCTGCACCTACGATGGCTTATGGGCCATAGTACCAGAACGCAGAGTGCATCTCGGCGCCTGCAGCGACCGAGGGTGTTTTCGAAGTAAGCAACGGTCACCACCACCATTTTGTTTGCTTCTCTACCTATTCGAGATGATATTCTGCCATGCAGCCTCGGCCAACCCAGCACGATGGAGTAATGGTTCGAGCCCGACGGCGACAAGCTGGTGGTGTTGCGATCAGTACGACCACTACTGCCCGATGGAAGACAGCTTAGCGAGGGCATGCGAATAGGCAATTGTAGCGACAGGCCAAGATTTTCTCTCCCATGGTAAAGAGCGCAATAACTGTCGTGATCAGACGTTATCGCTGCATGCAGTGTGCCTTGAAGCGCAGCTCAACAGTCGTTTTGTTGGTAGCAACATAGGGGGGTTTCGCAAATATGCACGCTATAACACTAGCTGTCAGCCAGTTGGTAGAACGTCACTTACCAGTCGCGGATACTAGCGTCAAAGAGACAATGCGGGTGTTAACGTTTCTCACAAAACAAGATCAGGCGTCCTGCGTGTCTCTTGAATCGTCCTCGGGTCCAATCCTTGCACTGGGTGAAAATGAATTGACAGTGAATGGTATCCGGCCAGCTGAATTGCAGATGTCAAAGCATCGATCTGTATTGCAGCTGATCACTTGGTGGCTTAATGAGGAGGGATTGTACTTCCACATCGAACGAATGGTATACATTAGAGATCCCACCAACGTTCATGAAGGTCGCGCAGGTCGTTGTCTTCAGCCAACTTGAGATACGGCGTCATGTCGCGCTCAGCATCCTTCTCAGCAGCGGTTTGTCCATTGCCAAAGTAAGCAAATCGATTCCCCGGGACCACATAACTGTATTCGTAGTCTTCCCAGCGAGGATCGCGCCTCGCGTATGTAACATGAGCTCCAGAGCCAGGCCTAATTGATATGTCAGCACAGATGTGAGCCGCTCTAACTGCGAGGGTTTACGTGCCAGTGACCATGAATACGTGCACCCGGACGACCGCCGTTGCTCCAGGAGCTACACTTTAGAGCCATGTTGGTTCTCGGGAAGAACGCATCAGCGTAGGCGATGAAGTCATCGGTCGCTGCCTTCGAGGGAACTATCGTGCGTATTCCTTGGGTCGATATCTTGCGCAGTACTTTTGCGACGTAGGTAACTTGGATCTCAACTGCTCACGAGTCAGCGCAACGTCGCTTGAATTTCCCGTGGTGAACATTACCAGCATGAGGGACAGTGCCACTGGGCCCGGCAGGATTGGGTCCTATGCGTCATTAGTCGCGAAGTCTGCTGCCGACTGTGCCAATCGGCACTCTGTACTACGCACCAAGGAGGTAGGATAGGTTTGGGAATCCATCCGTGGCCATGCCCAAGTACGATCGAGGCCAGCCAAGTTTGCCATCAGGTCTCCAGTCTCGAGAGAGATCGAGATCTCCAGAGACGATTGGAAAAGGAGGGGCATAGTCCACGTTTGCACCCGTGGAGCATATGACCGCGTCTACGGAACGCTTGATCCCGTCTACAGTTATAATGCCGTCTTCTACAAATCTGAGATGACATCGTTAGCTCAGTTTCTAGATGGTATGCAGTGGTAAGAGATACCGTGCGATCGGAGTTTGTATCAAATCCAGGTTCGGTGCGCATAGTGCTTCGAGGTACCCAGGGCCCGGCGTGAGGCGTCTACAATTCGGTGGGAAATCCGGTATCAGCTTGTCGAGCACCTCCGGTTTCTCACTCGTACGCGTTCGCATGGCTTCGATGAAGGTTTGTCTCAAATTCTTGGTAGTCTCGGAGTCAACAAGCTGACTCTCGAACCCCCTGAAGAAATTGCCTTCGAGCTCTTTTCTGTATTTGAGGTAGTTGACGGGATCCTTGAATGATCTGACTGTCTCAGAGTCGAAGTACATCGGTTTATCCTGCCGATCTCTCACAGCACTATCAAAAATCAGCAAGCGTATCATATGTGTGGTTTTCAGAGATCGTTGCACGTCTTTGAGATCGTTCCCTAGGACGTGGATGCTTGGGCATAGGGTCTAAGGAGATGTCTTATGACGATGCGCTCACTTACGGGTTGAAGCTGCCGGCGATCCATGTACGATTGCGCGCATAATGATCGACATGATCTGCTACTTTTTGTAGCTCAGTGGTGACCTGGATACCAGATGCTCCGTTGCCAATGGTAGCTATTCGTTTACCTTTGGGATCGAACTTTGGGTCATAATTGCTTGAATGGAAAAGAGGGCCTTTGAAGTCCTTAATGCCAGGGTAGTTTGGCAGTTTCCACTCGTTGAAGTGACCGATGGCTGTCACCACATAGTCATAGTGCTCCGAGCTAGAGTGGCCATCCTCAACGTGAACTGTCTCGATCCTCCATTGAGAGCGAGTTGGATCCCAGTACATGCCCACTACTTTCGTCCTGAAGCGGATGTGTTCATAAACATTGTGTTTACGCGCTAATGACTGCCAGTATGCAAGAATTTCATTGCCTTGGGCGTACTCTTCAGTCCAGTGCGTATTTGGAGTGAACGTGCTTTGGTAGACGTGTGCGGGAATGTCGCATCGTACACCAGGGTATCTGTTCTCAAACCAAACTCCACCAGCATCTGCATTCTTCTCCAGTATCGTCAGATCTATACCAGGAACTTTGGCAGGCAGGAGCGCTCCAGCTGTAATGCCCGCCAGACCAGCACCGATCACGGCTACCTTAAGCCTGCGGACTTCATCAATCGGATGCTCGCTGATCTTGAAGTTCGTTGGCCAAGGGTATACCCATTCGTCCTTAGGTCTGGCAAGGGGCGGCGTTTGTTGGCCGTCGTCGATTGATTCTACGGTTGTAGACGTGTTCCTTTTGAGATGGAATATGTCCCCGCTTGCAGGAATCGCCGCTTCGATAGATCCCATGGTGCTTGCTTGTTGAGTTGATGCAGATGCTCAATGTTGTCTTCTGAGAATGCAACGGAAGTTATGCAAGCATCGGGCATTCAACCATATCGATTCGCAATTGAAGTGAAATTTGGCGAGCGACCGGCCGAAGCGATGGCCCTGCCCCATAGTTCGGTAGGAGCGTGCAGGGCACGAACGGGAAGCACCCTGCAATGGTCAGCATGATAGCCGTCGGCATAGAAGCATATGCTTTTGTTTGGACAGAAGGACATGGGTGCCCTGGCATTATGTGACATAAGTTATATAAGATAACAGGGGCCACTGATTCCTTAGCAGATGTATGTAGAGTTAGGGATACCTACCCCCCTCTTTTCTCTTCTTAAGAGGTTAGACCTTAGATATTAATTGAACCTACTTTTCAGTTGAAAAGGCTTCCTCTTTATCCCTATTTGGGCTAGGGTAGTATATAGTTCCAATAGTTATAAGCCCGGCTAGCTCTGCTTGATTAATTAAAGGAATTAGTTAGTTACTAGATATTCAGAGTTACCTAATATCTGCTAGAATTACCTAAGATTAGTCAAATTCCGCTATATCAAGACAACAACCAAGGACCGTATACTATTACTTGAATGCCGGCCTAAACCCGTTTATTAAGAAGAAGAGAAGAAAGCCCGAGCCTATTAGATTAGCTTATAATCGATCGATCCCTAAGTCCTAAGTTTCAAGAGGTTAAAGAAGGCCTATTAAATCAACTCTTATTAGAAGAAGAAATACCTAGCAGCTCGTGTCCTAGGTATTAAGAGTAGTTTAACGAATTTAACGAAGACACTATAGCTAATTCTCCCGAACCCTTATTATTAACGACGACGTCGATTGCCAAGCTACGTACCTAGTAGGACTAGAATATATAGATTACCTATATTAAGAAGGAGGCAGTAAAGCTCTAGATATAGGCTAATATCAACTTAGAGATAGTTAAGCTAGATCCAACTAACCTAATACAGCTTAAAGGACAACCTGTCTTTAACTTTGCGGCTCTACCTACTAATGTTACCCTAATAGCTCTTAGTCTAGCTTAATTTAAGTATAGGTATAATAAGGATATATAGGAACTTAAGCAAAGGGGGTATTAGAAGATTGAATTAATTATTAACTAGTCTCTCTCTACAGACCTTTAGTATAGAGTAATTAATTATAAGATAATTAGGGATACACTCAAGACTCTCTTAGAATATATCAAACCTAATACCCTAGCTACTACTCAGTTATTAAAGAAAGAGTTAGAAACCCTTTCTTACCTACTATATAGAAAGTCTATTTATAACTATATATACCTTTAGTTCGTTTAGTATAGAAAGAGAGATACTATTAGCTAGTAAGCAGATAATGAATCTACCTAGGTATAGTTGTCCTCTATAGCTCTAATGTATAGAGACTATATAGCTACAAGGATAGGGAGGCTACTTAATAAGTAGATTAATAGGGAGGTAACAACTCTCTATTTAGAATTAAGAGCCTAGCAATCCTACTTTTAATATAATAGTAATACTAAATTCAAGAGTAAGTATAGAACTACCGTCGCTAGTATCTTAACCGCCGCTATAACCGAATTATCTTCGTCCTTAAACCGATCCTTATCTTTAAGACTAAGCAAACTATATCTCTATAGTAGGAACTATATATAGAAGGAATACTACTACCTTAATACCGAGTACCCGAGGCCTAAGGTATAGAAGCTAAGAGATAATATAAAGAAGAAGATTAAGAAGAGATTTAAGGAGGACAAGAACCTAAAAGAGAGAGTAGACAAAGCAATTTAAGTATATAACGCTACTTAAGGGCCGAAGGACAAAGATACTAAGAACAAGTTAGGTATAGCCGTAGAGGTCGAGGATACTACTGCTACTACTACCCTAGAATCGACCCCTAAGGTATCTGTTAGATCAATTGGTTATACCCGGCTCTATAACGCAGTGATTCTTAATAGTAGTACTAATATACATATTATCAACGAATCTATAAGGGCAAGGATCGTTAGGTTAGAGTTACTAACCTCCTCTAATATAGTAATATCTAGGGACAAGAGGTACTAACCTAAGGCAATTGTTAATACTACTATCAATTTGGATATAGGTAATAGAGTTACTAGGAAGCTTACTCTTCTTAAGGCAAGGCTTATTCCGGGATTCTTTACAAGTTTGGTCTTACTACAGATCCTTAACAAAAAGGGTATTTACTATAATACTAGAAACTAGCTAGACAAGTTGATTACTAGCTAATTATATAAGGAGCCTAGGCTCTAGGCATATCTTACCCCTAAACATAGTAACGACAGATACGGTTACTAGATTATTGAACGGTTGCCTATAACAAGAAGTGTTGCTAGAACTACTAGTTTATCTAGAACCCCTAGAATTAAGGAGGTAAAGTTAGTATATACCCTATACTCTAAGAATACGGGGAAGTCAACCTTACCTACCTTAACGTTACCTGCTAGATCTGTTACTACTATACAATCCAGTTACAAACTACTCCTACCTTTAATAGCTATAGCTAATTAATAGTATTAGTTACTAGGCTATCTATCTATAAGGGCTATTAAGAACTTAGAACCTGTAACTAAGGGTTACTAGGTAATTAAGTTAGAGAAAGAGACTCTAAATAGTGTTAATTGTAATACCTACTTACTAGCTAAGGCTAAAGCAGTAATTTCAAGGAGAAAAGATAAGTATAGGGAAGTACTACCTAAGGCAGAGAATACTAAGATAGCTGTCTGTTTATAGGACTTGATTGATATACCCCCTTCTCTCCCTAGACTAAATAGGTTAGTTTTCAAGTTTTATAGCTACTAGTACTATAACTAGGAGGGCTATTATATTAGTAAACCTATAGTAACTAAGCTATAAGCAGTTGCTAAGTTTAGAGGATATTTCAAAAGGATAGAAGTGTTATTTAGTACTTAAACTATCCTAGTCCGCTCTAATATAGAGGCTACTATTAGGAAGGATACTAGAAAAGTTATCTCTAGGTTAGGTATTACTACTTTGCCTACTACTGCTAATACTCCTACTTAGAATAGAGCAAGTAAGGTTGCTAGAAGAGAGATTATTACTAAATCTAGGACTCTTAGAATTGATAGTAGGTTACTAAAGAACCTATAGCTATAGCTTATAGATTTAGCTGTTTACCTACTTAACAGGACCCCTACTACTAAACTTAATTAGATAACTCTATTTAAGAAAGTTACAACTAAGAAGCCCTTCCTTAGCTATCTCTACCCTATTAGTTGTAAGGCCTTCGCTCTCTATAGAGACATTGCTAAGAGAGACAAGATAGAAGAGAGAGCTTATATTAGGTACCTAATTAGGTATACCTCTACTAATATTTTTTGGATCTGGATTCCTTTACTTAATAAGGTAATTAGGACAAGAGATGTAGTCTTTAAGGATAATAAGAGATACAATCCGCTAGATATTAATAGGTAGATACTTAGAGAGTTAGTTCCTACTACTATTTACTAGACTGTAATTAACTTAATCTTAATACCTAAAGAGCCAAATTCTGATAGTTCTATAGATAACCCTTTCCTAGCTACAAATATTCCGACTTTTGCTGTCTAACCTTAGGGAGGTAGTAAACAGTAGGGAGGTAAAGGGCTATAATAGGAACAGGAGTTATTATACCTAACGCCGCTAGAAACACCTGCTAGAGATAATAGTTAGGCCCCGGGGGCCTTACCGGGTATACCCGCTTCTTTATTACCCTCCGCTTTTTCGGTCTCTTATTAGCACCCTGCCTTAGATAGGGAGGTAGAAGAGAGTACCTATTAGTATAGTGTAGACAACTATAGACGATAGATCGACTATAGAATTAGACGGTTAAATGAACTAAGTTCTGCTACTACAGCTTTACTCTAAGCCTATACTCTACCTAACCTTAAGGATCCTTATTAAGTAACGAGTTTACTATTACCCCCTACTAACTAGAAAGAGATAGAAAGGCATATCTATTACTAACAGTTTAGGTAAGCAGCATTTAATAAAGCTAGAAAGCTTATAGGTAAGAGGACATTTAGGGTATTCTTTAGTTATAAGGGCTATAAAGTACTATTAGTCTAGGTATTTGCCTACAAAACAGACCTATTAACTAGTAAGATTCTTAGGTACAAGGCTAGACTCTATATCCGTAGGGATCTTCAATTACTATTAACCTATAAAACCTATACTGCTATACTTAGTTATAAGGTATTTAGGGCTATTACTGTCCTAGCATTTGTAAGGAATTTGAAGATAAGGCAATAGGATATAGTAAATGCCTTCCTAAATACTACTATTCCTTATACTATCTACTATTCTATCCTAGAAGGAATAGAGGAGTATAGATTTGGACTAGATGCCTGCTTTATCCTTAAGAAAGCACTCTATAGATTAGCTAAATTACCTCGCCTATAGTATAACCTGTTTGTTATAAGGATAGAAGACTATAGCTTTAAGCTGGTTCCTAGAATTAACTGTCTAATAGTAAATATAGATCTCTACCTGCTTATAATATTCTATATAGATAATATTAGGTTGATTTATAAGAGGGACAGGGAGGATTAAGCTATCCTATTTAACTAGTACCTGCTTTCTAACTTTAAGGTTACTCAGAAAGAGCTATCCTTCTTTCTAGGTACAGAAGTCCTAGAATTACTAGACTAGGAAACCCTAACTATAGGACAGTCTGCCTACCTAACAAAAATTAGCATCAAATTTAGTGTTTATAAGAGGACTCGATTTCTAGAGACACTACTTCCTACTAGACTTGTACTAGTACCTACTAGTAATACTACTAGACCTAACTTTATTAAAGGATATTAGATGAAGGTTGGTTCAATTAGTTATACAGCGGTTCTAGTAAGGCCTAATATAGTAAAGGTATATACTACTCTTTCTTAATTTCTAAAGAATCTAAGCCAAGCTTATATAGAAGCTGCCAATTACCTAATTGCCTACCTCTATAGTACTAAGGACATAAAGCTGCACTTCTATAGAGAAAAGCCTAAGATAGAACTGTATATAGATGCCTTATTTAGTAACAACCTAGATAGGAAGAGTTTATAGGGATCCTTAATAGTAATATATAGTAGTACTATTAATTAGTAAGCAACTAAGTAGAAGACAGTTACTAAATCAACCGTAGAAGCCGAGTTGTTAGCCCTATCTTCTATCGTAGGAAATAGGTACTAGTAGACTCGACTGTTTTCCGAGTTTAACAAGGTATTTCTACCTCTACCTAGAAATAAGGAACCTGTTAAGGATAGAACTACGAATAGAGTTATAGATAGAAGCACTAAGGTTTTCTATAATAACTAACGAGTAGTAGATATCGCTAATTACAAGTATGGTTCACTTAATACTGCTTTGAGATATATAGATATCTACCAATACTAGGTAAGACAGGAAACAATAGTAGGAAGATTAACCGTTAAATAGATTAGAACGGCAAAACAGCGAGCTAATAGCTTTATAAAGAACCTCCTAAAGGGGTTATTCCAGTTATTCAGGACGAGCCTAGGGCTTAGGTAAGTAAGGACATAGATATAGTTGATTATTAGATTAGTATAGACGGTTACTATATCTAGCTTTTCAGCTTTTCTTATATAATTAAGCTAAGGGAGGTATATTTAGACAGAAGGATATAGGTACCCTAGCATTATATAATATAAGTTATATAAGATAATAGGGGCCACTGATTCCTTAGCAGATGTATGTAGAGTTGGGGATACCTACCCCCCTCTTTTCTCTTCTTAAGAGGTCAGACCTCAGACATTAATTGAACCCACTTTTCAGTTGAAAAGGCTTCCTCTTTATCCCCATTTGGGCTAGGGTGGTGTGTGGTTCCAACAGCTTTGTCGTCTGCAATTTGGTCAGGTTCGTCGTCCAGTCGAGTAGTTGTTAATGATGGCGCAATACTAGGCTCTCAAGGCAACATTAGTTCGGCACAATCTCGGGAGGGCATATACCTCAATCCGTCATTGCTCGACATCTTCACCAGGGCTACACTCGTATGCTGAGAACTTTGCGACTGCACGCCTCGATTCGCAATCGATGGCGTAACGTGATGCTGAGGTCTTACATGTCCAGGAGCGGAATTCCGGTAGCAGACAGCGTATGATATACCTTGTGGTAGGTAATGTATGCAGTGATAGGCCAGCTGCAGCGTTTGGCCCTACTTTGATTGTGGTCTCCCGGGCGAAGCAGAGGCAAACCTCTCTACCAACGTTCTGTTATGAGGGCAGAATGAATACTGTACCTTTCAGACCAATTCCTACGACATTCGATGCGTTGGAACATAACCTCGACATGGGGAAAGACATCGATTGGGGGACAGCAACACCAGTGACTCGCATTGTCAATGTGCTCGACGAGAAGAAGCTGGTGAAGGCCATTTCAAAATGTGCACTGCAGGCAGCTCAGCCCCCAAAGCACCAAAAAGCACTCGTGCTTCACGGTCTGAGGCAACCATTCTCTCTGTCGGAGGAGTATAAAGTGCCTGAGCGGAAAAGTTCAGACGAGCTTGTTGTGAGGGTGCATGCAATTGGACTCAATCCCATTGATTGGAAGAGTGTCGATTACGGCTTCGGTATCCCGGTTTTGCCATACGTTGCTGGACGTGACTTTGCGGGAGAGGTCGTGGAAGCGCCGGCCACCCACAGTCACATACGAGTCGGCGACATTGTACGTTGCCGCAACCTTCCTTCCACGGCAGCAATGGGACGCTAACAGACGCTAGGTCATATGTGGCTCGACAGACTATCGAGATGTGCGCAAAGCTGCCTATCAGGAATACGCAATCGCGTCGCACCATACGGTCTGCAGACTGCCCAGTCACATTCCGATCGCTCACGGAGCTGCGCTGGGCGTCGCCTACGTGGCTGCATCTCTCACGCTTGGTGTTTGTCTAGGACTGCGCTTGCCGGATATCGCCCAAGCGAAAGGCACGAGAGGGCCAGATATCCGCCAGATGGTGCGCAGAAGTGCATTGGAAGACTTGCCCGCCGACACACTTTCCGAATGTCTCAGCATGCCGGAGCACGAGCGCCCGGTGGCAGGAGAGTGGCTTGTGGTTTGGGGAGGATCATCGACCAGCGCGTTCATCTTATCGCAAATTGCGCATCTGGCGGGCCTGAGAGTGATACTCGTGGTCGACGTAGCAAAGCACGGTGCGCGGATGATGGAGGCCAAGGACTTCGTGTTGGTGGACAGTCACCACCCCGCCCGCGCCAGCGAAGTCATTCGCAGTCTGACCCAGGGCCAGTTGCGGTTTGGTGTTGATACTGTGGGCAAGCCCACGACAGAAGCCCTGGCAACGAGCCTCCATGTGGGAGGCGAGAAGCGACCGCACATCGTCGGATTGGCGGCGCTGCCCAAAGAAAGGGTGCCGGGAATCGTGTATCACAGCGTGCCGGTCAAGCTGATGCACGAGGTGCCTGAGGTCGGGCTCTCGTTGATGGCGTGGCTCGAGCAGGCCCTCCGGTATGATGTGTTACGGCTGCCGGTGGTGGAGCGGGCGTCCGGTGGCCTCGAGGGAATCAACGCCGCCTTGGACCGGATGCGCGAGGGCCAGATCTCCGGCAAGCGGTTAGTGGTGCCGCTGTGTTGATACACTGGAGGTGGTATACCTGTATTTGATGCATGGACGCGTTGTTGGGGAACTTGGGGGTGATGAACGCGTGGTGTCGTCTGTTGGTAATGGACGCGTCACAATGGAAGAAGACACCGTCAGCCTTGGCAGCTACCTATTCTCGCAAACTCAACCTACGTCTACCTCATGTTGTGCACCACCACCCAACTCCTTCACGGTATCGCTGACCAACCTACATGTGGCTAACATCTCTGTCAGCCGTCAACCTTGGAAACATGACAAAGCAGAGCGGAAGTATATAAAACCAGAACGCACACAGCGCAGAGGTAAGAAATACATCACTTAAACAGCGAGCGTCCTTCGTTGGTGCATTCACAACAGACCGCAAACATGTCTACCGTCCTCATTTACGGCGCGACTGGCTATAGCGCGCGCTTGATCCTCGAACATACCGATTTCGCCTCGCTTCCTGGCCCAGTCATCCTCGCTGGAAGAGACGAGACCAAGCTACAGGTCCTGGCCAAGAAATGGGGTCTCAGTTATCAAGCCTTCACACTCGACTCCGCAAGTACGATTGAGACCCAGCTGCAGAACGTGCACACTCTGCTCAACTGCGCAGGGCCATTTGCTCAGACTGCCGAGCCTCTCATGCGCGCGGCAGTGCGGACCAAGACCAACTACCTCGACATCTCTGCTGAACTCGAAAGCTACCTTCTGGCTGAAGAACTAGATCAGCAGGCGAAAGCGTCCGGAGTGGTGCTTCTACCCGGCTGCGGCGTGTGCATGACTGTAATGGTAGGCCTGACTGCGCATGTGCTGAAGCGTGTCAACACACCATCGACTGTGAGCACGGCGATCTTCATGCCCGGCAGTATCACGCCGGGTACAGCTCGCAGCGCAGGCGGGGATCAGACACTAAGACGTTTGACAAGATCAAATGGTGACCTGGTTTCCGGCGACAGTGGAAGTGCGAAAAGCTTCGACTTTCGGTTTGACTCCGGTCCTGTGCACACTATCATGTTCGGCATGCCGGACGTCATTGCGCTGTGGCACACGTTCAAAGTGCCGAACATCACTTCGTATGCTATCGTGATGTCTACATGTCTGGCCGCTCTTGCTAACGGCCTGTTAGATACATCTACATGGAGGCTTCCAGCGCCTCGAGCAGCGGTGCTAGTGGAGGTGATGCAAACGACGCTGCTGACGGCCCCTCCCGCGAGGAGCGCGAGGTCAAGAGAATGCGAGCATCTGTCGAAGTCATAGCAGCAGACGGCGCTGTCGCTCGCTCTGTCCTCGAGACGGTCAATGGCTATACCATGACTGCCCGAGCCGCAACAGAGGCTGTCCGGAAGATCATGAACGCTGCTGCAGTCAAGAACAGCGGTGGCTTTCATACATCTGCCACACTTTTTGGAGAGGATTACATCCAGACCTTCGACGACCTAAGCATCACTGATCTTTGAGGCGCGGCCCACTAGATTGTGAAGCTACTGGGTATATACAAAAGCTTCCTGGCGGTATATCATTTAGCCTGGGCCCAGTTGCAGCCTACCGTGCGTGATCCACACGTTCGGGGAGAGGATGTGGTATGAAATGAGCAATACCATGAATGACTGACCTACGAACAGTACAGAGTGGATAGGACCCGGCATTCGTGAAGAAACGGATGGCACATAGGCGGCAACTGCTGACAAAGTGATGCACCCCGAGGAGCAAACTTACTGGTCGGCCTTTGCGTAAGTACGACGTTCACTTGAATAGCTTTCCAAAGGAGTCCCGACAACGAATGGCGGGATTCCCATCCAAACGCTAGAGCTGGTCAACGGACTCAACGCACAGTAAGTAGCATCCCTTTGTTGGTATAGTGCTACTGTATAAAGAACTGCCAAGTGGCTTCTGCAGCTCGTGGTCTGCGGCCGAAGAAGTTCCTATCGCTCTAGCTATGCAGCAGAGGACTCTGAAGCCAACGCTGCAACCCATCAGCAGGATGTTTTCATGGCAATCAAAAACCGGATCCATGTGTGAGCGCAGGACAAGTCTCCGAAGGCAGGTCTGTTTCTCTGGAATGACGCGAAAGTTTTTCTTACTCGTCTCCATCGATGATCAGCAACACACAGTTACACACTTACGATGCTAGATATTGAAAAGCCTACAAATTAGGAAGTCCTCCGTACCCCAGCACATGGGTAAGACCAGACCCTTGTCAAGCTTCCAGCGCCAGGCTGTCAGCTTGCTTCCGCTGTTGCCGCGCGGCAGCTAGCAAGCTGGAATGCATAACGAATATCGCAGCGTGACTAGATACGCAGCAGTCACCCATAGCACCTTGGCATTTGAATGACCCGACGAGGACCTTCGTGGAAGTGCAAAGGGTGTGCAGAACACAAACTTCTCATCATCATCATCATCATGGGCAGTATCGAGACGCCACCATTCCAGCCGGAATACGATGTATTGGTCATCGGCTGCGGGCTCAGCGGCATATACACCGTGTATCGTATGCGGCAATTGGGACTCAGGGTGAAAGCGCTGGATGCAGGTTCGGGAGAGGGCGGGACATGGCGTTCGTAAGTCGATACGCACGTACACAGGTCTATTACTTGATCTCGTTCGAGCAACTGCTAATCGATGACGAGAAACCGTTATCCTGGCTGCCGATTCGATTCTGAAAGCGTCAGTTATGGGTTCTCCTTCTCGCAAGAAGTGCTTGATGAATGGGATTGGACCGAGACATTCGCCCCCGGATCCGAGACACTCAAATATGCCCAGTTCCTCACGGACAAGTTTGATCTTCGGAAATATATGCAATTCAGCACAAAGATAGTTTCTGCGCACTTCCAGGAAGATACGAGATTGTGGTTGTTGACCGATAGCCATGGCCTGACGTACTCATCTCGGTTCCTCGTCACAGCGCTGGGCATCTTGAGTGCACCAACCCTGCCAAACATCCCGGGCGCCGAAACCTTCAAAGACAGCTTTCACAGCTCACGCTGGCCCGAGGATGGAGACAAACGGCTCAAGGGCAAACGCGTGGGCATTATAGGAACAGGCGCGACAGGCATCCAAATCATCCAGACGATCGTGAAGCCCGAGTACGACGTGAAGTCTCTGACGGTGTTCCAAAGAACTCCCAATTGGAGCGCGCCACTTCGCAATGAGTCACTGACCAAGCAAGACATGGTGGAGATCCGAAAGCAATATCCCAAGATTTTCGAGCAATGCCTCAAGTCCTACAGTGGCTTCGTCTACACCGCGGACACGCGCAAGACATTAGAAGTTCCCGAAGCAGAACGTCTCGCATTCTGGGAAGATCTCTATGCCAAACCAGGTTTTGCCAAATGGCTCCAAAACTTCGCAGACATCAACACTGACCGCGAAGCCAATGCCGTGTTTAGCAAATTCATCGCCGACAAGATTCGGCAGCGAGTCCACGACCCTCGCATTGCAGAGAAGCTCATCCCTCGCAATCACGGCTTTGGAACGCGTCGTGTGCCGCTGGAGACTAACTATATCGAAGCCTACAACGATGAGCGTGTGCGCTTGGTAGATGTGGCAGAAGACGATCCCATTGAACGCATCACTGAAACAGGCATTCAGCTGCAAAGCGGCGAACATGTCGATCTTGATATTCTCATCTTCGCGACCGGGTTTGACGCTGTCACTGGACCTTTTCATTCGATAGATTTTCAGGGTGTGGATGGAGCCAAACTCAAAGACGTCTGGGCAGATGGCCCTCGGACCTTTTTGGGGTTATTTGCACACAAATTTCCAAACATGTGCATGATTTTGGGTCCTCATCAGAGTAAGTTTTTTTATGATATCACGAGATGACGAATTCTTTTTTCTTCATTTTCCCTCCCCCTTGAAAAAATAAAAAATGACGACAACTTCCCTTCCACTACAACTTTAAAAAAAGAAAAAAGCAAAAGAAAAAAGAGTGGATGCGACACGCGAAAGATTGAACCATGATATACGCAGTACGCTAATCTCCATCCCCTCCCTTCCCTTCACAATAGTGTTCGGCAATATCCCCCGGTCCATCGAATACGCAGTCGACTGGGTCTCCTCATTTCTCCAGACCTGCTACTCCAACAATCCCCAAAAACCCATTACCTACTTCGTCGCCCGAGAAGACAAAATCATCGAATGGACGGAACATGTGCACGAATGTGCTCAGGGCCTGTTGGCGAATGAGGTGGATTCGTGGATGACGGGCGTGAATAAGAATGTCCCGGGTAAGGAGAAGAGGAGTATTGCGAGGTATAATGGTCCTGGACCGGGGTATCGAATGCGGTGTGAGGATGTGGAGAGGAGAGGGTATGAGGATTTGGTTTTGGAGTGAGTGAGAGTGAGTGAGTGAGAGTAAGATAGGTAGGTGATTATAGAGCTATCATTTGTTTTAGACCAACATAGTCGTTTAACCTTCTATTGCACATTCTTGATGTCAATATTTCTTCTCCATCGTCGACTTGACAACTACAAAAAATAGTCTACGGTACCACTGAAATCGCCGTAGAGAGAGCCGCTACCAGAGTACAACAAACAAAAAACACATTTAAACATTCTCTGGTAATAAGTACGGTTCACGAAATTTGGGAATCAATCAATCATTCATCTCACTTGCGCGCAGCGCATCACATCGCATCATTCCTTCAGCAAAACCCGTTCGTGTTCCACTTGGCAACTCTCCCCCTTTTTTTCTTCATCATTTGTTCGCCCATGGTACTGTATAACTGTACGTTTCCCAAATCATCGGGTTTCTGTCTTTCTTTCTTTCTTTCTCTCTCGGCATATGAGGCCATACATATGTCATGTGTAAGGTATGAAATAGAATACATCCAGCCGTAGAGAATCAAGCGAAACCGTTTTCTGTACAGGTAGGTAGGATTAAGGTAGGGACCTAGGTAAGTAGAGGAAATAATGTAAAAAGGAAAAAATTGAATTAGAAAGAAATATCAGAACCTCTTACACCTGACCTAATAATCTAACCTGCTTACGACAGAGAGAACGAGAGAGAGACAGAGAGACACACACACAAAAGTCTTCCATTTTTCCCTTCTACCTATTCTGCTCGGTCGGCTATATATCCCTACCCTACCGAGAAGAGAATAATCTGACCTATATATATATATAGTAACTTCAACGTATCCATTTCAATTAAATACAAAAGACACCGGGTACCTGTACCTAAAATTGCAGATACGGAGAATAATATCTCCTTCTAGGAAGAAATGCAAAAGTACACTATATCTGTACAGGTACCTCAATTCGGTTCGGCTTTATAATTGTTTATAAAATCTTTTTAGGTACGGAAAGGGAAGGTCGTTTGGGCTTTTTCTAACAAATGTACAGTACTGTACTGTATCTACTTACTACTTTGGGTACTATCGAATGCGCTCATTTATATAAGGTATATGTATTTATTAATCGGGAGGTACAAGGTAATGAATAAATGAATGAACGAATGTTTTTATTACTTGCTTGCAGTCGACTGTATACTACGTCGATGTACAATATCGATGTACCTTACTTAACTCACTTGCGAATGAAAGCTTCTATTGCGCACATGAATACCTACCTACCTACCTACTTTTCCATACCTCATACACCAGAGAAGGAAGCACGAGAGAAAGGAGAACTCTCGGTGCGTGCACGACTCTGGTGCCATCCCTGATGCTGCTGGTGGTGGCGGTGGTGGTGGTGCAGGTGGAAGAGGCGGTATCGCACATACGTTGAAATGGTGCATGCGTCGAGCGCACGCGAATCAGTACCCACCCAGCTGCCTCATGCGCTCGCTCTCCTGATACAACTGTTGTCCTGCGAGAAACCGTGTCTTCAGCCGTCCAATAGTAGATAAGCCTTCCCGACACGATGGGGCCATCTAGACGACTACCTCCTCGCGCTTGGTAAGCAGTGTGAACGAGAAAGGGGCACATACCTCCTATCAGCTATTCGCAAAAAGACGAGCAGATCTTCTCACAGACACAAAGCTGTACCTCCTACTACGGTACCGACTTCCCTTCCCTGTGAGATGATGGGCGTGCGTGTGGAATCACGGGCCTAGCGTCCATCGGTCCATGTATGTACATCTTCATGGGAAAACGTGTTCCTGGTCCGGACCGATTATGGTATTAGTGGTTCGTCTCGCAAAACGTCATGATCGTATTTTTTTTGCCATGCTGCACGTTTCGAGAACCGCGGCGGCTTGATGTCGGCCCTTGGGGCAAGTAGGAGGTAGGTTTATGCCTTCTAGGGATATACCAGAGTCCAGTGTTTCCAAAATAAAAATATATTGGAGAATTGTCACGACGCTAAGGTACCCCGTTCGTATTCTGTAGCAACAGCAATAGCAATAGCAATAGCAATAGGACTGGACTGGACTGGACTGGACGACTGGACTGACTGGACTGGGTAGGAGGTAAGGTATAGTACCTGGTAATGTCTGTTCTTGTATTTATTCGTGTTGTTGGACACATGCACTGTACTATTACGGCGTCCTGTCGCTGATGAGAGTAACATTATGATGTAGTAAGTTTGAGTACGACATGTACCTAGGTAATGTAGGTATTAATACGGGATGTGAGAAATGAAAAGAAAAGCACTACCGGGGGTGAAGAGGTCAGGTCACGTCGTATAAGAGGAATTGCAAAGTGTAGGAAGCAAGGCACATTTCATTCATTCCCCAAGGGCACACTCAGCGATGGAATGTGTTCCTGCTGCTACAACGCAAGATCAATGACATCTTTCTTTTTTCTTTTCTTTTCCTTCTTCACGATGGCTGAATATACGCGGACTAGACTCGGCAGATTTGGGTGGAGGAGGCGTCGACGGGAAGGGCGGGGCGGGGCGGGGCGGTCGGTCGGTCAATCGGTTCTGTGCAATAGCTCCTAGAAGAGGTACAGTATACCTCCTACAGTACAATGTCGCGTAGTGTGATGCGGTGTCATGATTCGTGGCACTCGGGGTGGTCGCATCGGAGAGCAAACGCGACGGATGCTGTGTTCCTCGTATGGGGTGAGAATGGGCAACATCCATGGCAGCACCAGAATAAGAAGAATGCGATGTGTGGGTGAGGGTTTGCTTGGCTCTGTCATCTGCTGGCCATTGGGTTGGGATGATGACGAGCAGCTTTACCTACAGTGAGCTTACCGACGGCCTTACGGGTACATGGAATCTTACGAGGCCACCTCAGCAGGCCCTTAACCTAATCAAACCGGAGCAGTTTCGCAGTTTCGCAGCAGCGAGGTACCTACTAGGCTACTCTACTAGTAGCTACATACTAGTAGGAGGTACATGTAGGGAGCGCAGTCAGTTGTCAGGTTCATGTAAGACACCACGCTGCTGCTCCTGCTCCTGCACTCGTGTTGACGACGGAAGCTTGCTGACTTGTTATTTAGTCGTCAGAAATAGCCACGTCCTCGTAACGGACAACGCACAGAATGGAAATGTGGACTCAGGACTAGGTGCTGGCACCATCAAATTGACCCAACAATAGGGAAATCCACAGTGGAGCCGACACGGAAATTCATTATTGGTTTTTTTTTGGGTGGTAAAATGATGAATTGATGATATTTGCAGAAAGAAAGAATGGGTCCGGAGAAAGGCGGCGTTGCAGCGAATCGAAGTTGCAGTACAAGCACAAAGCGATGAAACAGGGAAGGTCGCAGACTGACAGCCAGGGTCCCACCAGTAAGAGGTAACTTAGTAGACGAATTACTAACTCTGGAAGATTACCTACTACGTACCTACTACCGACTCACTGTCACTGCTGACTGACTGCCCACACTGACCACTGAACCCGCACGCCATTACCTCCTACTCCCTACTCACAGCAATGGGCCAGACAACCTGAGGCACACACGGCTCCCGACCAGCGACTCACTTCCTCAGTATGGACCACCTCCTCCACCACCGACCGAGGTAACTACACGTACTCCTCTTCACGACTCACTCGGGGGCACTCCTCGTGCGCCGTTGGATGCGCAGCGCGACGCGACGTCTCACACGGCGCTTGCGTGGCGTGTGCGTGTGGTCCCTCTGGGTGTGGTTCAAAAATGGAGAGTGGGGACTTGGGACACGGTGGGAGTGGGAGCTGGGAGAGAGTGCCTGTCGCATCAGCCAACCTTCGCTTCGCGCCCTGAGCGACGTCCAGCGCGCGACCGCGTACCTGCAGATAGCGCCGCTGATCATCACCGCTTGCAGCTCTGGCGCAGGAACACGGTTGACACGAGCACATCACGTGAGTGCATTGGCCGGGGGGTGGGCGGGCGTTTGGCTTCATCTCCTGTTTGAGACGTCTGGGCGCAGGGTCACGGTGGGCAAGTGGGCAAGTGGGCAGTGGGCAAAGTCGAGTGTGGGCTAAAATGACGCTGGACAGGCTGAAACGCGGACGGGGTTTCGCCCGGAAAGGCGGCATGGCAGTGAGCAGCGAGGCTGTGAGAGGCTGTGACACGACGCCAGGCCTGTACGCTAGTATATCAGACTAGAATGGACCAAGGTTAGTGAGTGTCTGAGCGCCGCTCTCCCGTGGACCAGTGTCCACTGCTCACTGCTCACTTGTTCCCACTGTGGCCTCGTGCTGCAACTGCTTTCAGGGCCAACTCTCCGTCGAGCCCGTCTCTTCGTCAGCGCATCGCATCGCATTGCATTCGCCGCCGTCGCAGCTGCAAGCGCCGGCCATATCCTCCCTCCCCTCCGCCCAAGTGTCCGCCGCCTTACACCCCCCCTTCCGCCCCAGTCCTCCTTCCTCATTCTCTTTTGATCTTTCCTTCCAACCACATCTGTTTGTCCTATTCCAGGCTTGTTCTTTTTTTTTCTTCTTCCAACAAACCACACCCACACCCACGCCCACACTCTCTCTCTCACTCGCTCTTGCACTCGCGCGTTCATCCATTCCTTCTTCTCGCTGCGGTCCCATGCTGCCTGCGCATGTGTGACCCATCATCTTCACCCGCGTGTTTCCTTCTCTTTGCTGCGTGATCTTGTTGTCCGCGAACAGCAGCACATAACACACACACACACACACTTACGCACAAGCACACACATTATGCATTTCTCCACCCTCTTTTCCGCGGCCGCGCTGGTCCAGGTCGCTCTTTCCAAGCCAGCTTCAGGCCTCAAAGCATTAGACATTCACAACCATGGCCACGCCGCGCAGCTCCAGAAGCGCGCCGGCGAGGTCATTACTACTGGCGCTGTCGGCCTCGGCGACGACAGCGTCCACTCGCGACTCGAAATCAACGATCTAACCAGCCGACCTGCCATGTGGTCGCTCTACATCCGCGCCATGGCCCGCTGGAAGGAGGTGCCTGCCAACGATCCCACAGGCTACTACGGTGTGTCGACCGTTCACGGCGTGCCTCGCGAAAACTACAACGGCGTCGAGCAATGCGACTCCTGCCAGGGTGCCGATGGCTACTGCACCCACGATTCCGTGCTGTTCCCCGCCTGGCATCGTGCCTACTTGGCCCTCTATGAGCAGGAAATGATCAAGGTCGCTCTGGATGTCGCCAACTCGTTCGATGGCGACTTTGGCGACCAGATGAAGGCTGCCGCCCAACAGATACGTATTCCCTACTGGGACTGGGCTGCCTCTCCAGACTCCGGCGACGCCGTCCTCCCTCCCAGCCTCAGTGGCCAGCAAGTCACCATTGCCGGTCCCAACGGCGATGAGACGGTCGACAACCCGCTCTACAGCTACCACTTCGACGACCCCAGCAACATGTACTACTCGCCCTTCACCACCTGGGCCGACACCATGCGCTACCCGACGAGCTCCGATCCCAGCGCCACCAGCCAGAACCAGCAGGCCGTCGACGCCTTTGGCAACCTCCAGCAGAACCTCCAGGACCAGGTGTACCAGCTCTTGACCGCCTGCCAGGACTATCTTGGATTCGCCACCGATGATGCGAGCAACAATGCCTGCGCCAACAGCATCGAGGGCATTCACAACACCGTCCACACCGTTTCCGGCGGTGCGGGCGGCAACGGAGTCTCGGGTGGCCACATGACCTATCTGCCCCTGGCCTCGTTCGATCCCATCTTCTGGATTCACCACGCCAACGTCGACCGTATCTTCGCCATGTGGCATACGGTCCATGACGCCTACGGTGCCTCGCAGGTCGCCCCGCATGCCACCTGGACCATCGCCGCCGGCTCCACCCAAGACGCCAACTCTCCTCTCATGCCCTTCCGCAAGACGGTCGACTCGTACTGGACCACCAATGATATCAAGGACTTTGAAATGACGTTCAAGTACACCTATCCCGAGTTTGTGGTGGGTGCCGACCAGAGCAGCGCCACCGTCGCCGACTTCATTAACCGACTCTACGGCGCCAATGCGGATGTGACCTCCTCGCAGCTGTCTGCTCTCGCTGAAACGGGCAGCAACACCAATGGAAACGCTGCCAATGCGGACCCTGCGCGAGATGTCTCCGGCACCGTGGACAGCAAGAACACCAAGGACAGCGAAGGCGGCTTGGGCTTGGGCTTCGGCATTGGCTTGGGCTCCATTAGTATGTCACTCAACCTTCCCTTTGGCTCCAAGCCCACGGCGGCATCATCCTCCTCCGGCCTCCCCTACCCCAAGGTCACGGGCGCGTGGAACGGTACCAAGACGACCGCGGCCTACCCTGGTCCCACCGGCACCGGACTCCCCAGCAGCAGCGGTGGCAACATGACTATCAATCCCGCCTTCATGGCACCCAACGGAAGCGTGTACCAATACCAGTGCAACGTGGACACTCCTCGCTACGCATTCAACGGCTCGTACGTGGTGTACGTGTTTGATGGTCAGCCCTCCTCCAACGACAGCAGCACCTGGCTCGGAGATGACGGCTGCATTGGCCAGATTGGTATTTTGGCTGGTGGCGACATGGCGAGCATGGATACGCTCAGCTCGGGCTCGGTTCCGGTGACCCGCCACTTGCAGAAGATGTACAAGGCCGGTAAGATCTCTGGCCTGAGCGAGGATGTCGTGGTGCCATATATGACCAAGAACCTCAACTGGAAGATTGTCTACCAGGGCCAGGAAGTGCACCCCGATGCTCTCACGGGCTACAAGGCCTCGTTCGTCTCGGGCCTCCTCTCTCCCATCACGGACGGCAAACTCCCCACCTGGTCGAACCTCATTCCTCATGTCGATGTCACCAAGGGCAAGGCGGGTGGTATCACTCAGCTCGTGGACAACATTATCGGTGGCGTCGGTCAAACCCTCGGTGGTCTCGGAGGTGACTCTTCTTCCCCTGCGGGATACGGCTCCGGAGGCAGCGCAGCTTCACCGCCCGCCGGGTACGCTCCCCACAACACCGAAGACTCTCCCGTCCCTGCCACGACTCCTGCACCCTCTGGCCCTGCGACGTACCCTCCTGAGGAGGAGACGACCACCACGGTGTACGAGACGCACTATGTCACGTACTGTCCATGCACGGAGACGTTGACCACAGCAGCACTGCCCAATGCGACACCATATGCGCAAGCATACTAGACGTAATGGGGACGTACAGGACCTTTGACGAGCACCAGAAATCGAGAGAATAAGAAACAAAAAAGAGGTTCCTTAATGTTGATCAGCTCTGTGCATTACCTTCATTCTTGAAACTGGACAGGCGCATGTAATATGACGAAGCAGCAGCAGAAGAAGAAGAAGCAAGGGTTTTGCCGGCAGGGGAAGAGAAGATCGGAATTGCCACAGAACAGGTTTATACATATGACGAGACTATACTGTTGTCACTGGAACAAGAAACAAAAAAAATCAATCGTAGCATACCCCTCCACACGATTGATTGAACAGTGCGCCTAGAAGGGGGAAAGGTTGGTGTATTGCATAGCATTGTTTCTTCATTTTGAAATGGAGAGAGAAAGAGGTCGAGGTCTCTAGCTCATTGTGTACATATTCGTGTATCAGAAGACTTGTTCACTTGAATCTCTCTTTTTTTTCCCTTTCTCTTTCGAACAAGAAGGAATCTGACTCTCTGACATACACCTACACTTGACTATTTCCCACAACGATAGACAGTAGACTAGTAGTAGTATGAGGTTCAGATCGATCTCGAAAGGAAGAGAGAGAGAGAGAGAGAGAGAGAGAGAGGTACGGT